AGCACAAGCCTCCACCGTCGGGTGAGGTACCGAACCATGAAACGGGAGGTTCTCGCGAGAGAAAAAGAGATCCTAGAAGACCATCAGAAGACGTCTCGACAACAGTGTAAATGTATTAAGTTTCTTCTTGTCAGGTTTTAGACGCTTTGGACATCGTAGACCGTTAGAGTCATCATGTCCTGATTTTTAGTGCAATGGACCCATCGATGTCGGGAGTCGGAGAACGAAGAGGAGTAGGTCGAACCGGAGGAAGAAAACGTACCTACAATAGAGCACAAGAACGGAGTGTGTCCTTCTGAAAGGAAGGAAAAGCCCGGCGAGTATGAGTCGTCGCATGGAGATCTAGGTGCTTGGCCACCAAAACTTCGAACCGGGGCTAGTGGCGCTCCGCGAGACCGCCTCCTCGAAGCACTCCCGGACCGAAACCCGAGTGGAGGTGGCGTCCAGGGCCCTAGTGTGTCCGAAGGGGAGGAGAGTGGAGGATGGGCAGGAGATGTGGAGAGGACCCAGGACTGGTCCCTGCTGCGCCACGGGTACCACCGTCGAATGCGAAATTTTTGTCTTTTTCACCGTCGTCACTCGGACACTTCAGGTATCGACTAGTGTTGCTACCACCTAGTCGGGTCCTCTGGGAGAGTGGAGCCTAAACATAAAGGAAATCATAGTGAGTGGTGGGTGGTCACAATCTGGGACCCCCAAGAAAAGATAAAGCCGAAGAGTGAGGGGATTAAGTAGGTCATACTACCCCCAGATTAGAGGTTTTGCGATAACACGTAGTGCCGGTTATTTCTACAATAGTTGATGGTTTGATCAGGAGGACTAAATTTATGTAAATCAAATTGCTATGAGAAACTTCCATGGACCTTCATCTTCATTGTAAATAAAGAAAGAGAGAGATGTTAAGTTCCCCTTTTATAACATTAAAGTGATGTATAGCTTTATCCAATAGAAAATGAGATTCGGAGACGAAGCCTACACACAATGTCGGTTGTGAATCCGCATTTAACCACTATACTACGTCCCCGTCCCGGCCATCACACAAATCCTCATGCCGGACTTTGATTTCAAGACATTTACAGCCCAAGTCGCGGGGCGAACTGGTAATACAACAAGGCCTCCCAGTACGTAGCTGTCTCACGACGACCAGTTATGGACCCGACACCATTCGTAGTAAAGATGAGTGTTAAGGAACATAAGCTTCCGCGACGGTAACTGGGACATCACATTAAAACAGAAGACCAGGTGCGGCGTTAGGTATGGCGGTCAACAAATAGAGGAGTGTTGCAAGGTCATTGTGCCCCGCCAATATAGTCATTGGGCATAGCACTCTAAGGAGAGAGCCAAAGTGAGTCACATAGTAATGGGGTACTTGTCTTTTAGGGGTCAAACGACAGTTTAAGGTAAATCACACCTGTAACGATCAACTATCTAAAATAGTTGTGTTAAATAAAGGCACAAGGGGTTCTTGAATGAAATGATATTATAAAGGTCAAAACAGAACTGATAAACACCGAATCTACTCCACAAAATAAACAGAGACAGGTTTTATGCGTTATTCCATTATATTGACAGTTTTCCAGCCAAACAACATTAAACAAAAAGTCCGCTCTGCGATAACCCAAAAGTGTCTTTACTGCTGTGACGGAGCGGATCACAGAGTGACTGACTCCGCCACTGACAGCCGCAGCGGCAACACACACACACACACACACACACACACACACACACACACACACACACACACACACACACACACACACACACACACACACACACACACCAACCCTGCTCTCTAAAAATGACGTTCCCACACTAAACTAAACTGCATTCTCAATTACGTTTAGCGAGAAACGTATTTTCTCCCACGTTACGTTCGT